AGCCTGAAAGATGAAAATTGTTCTTATATAAAAAAATCGGCTGCCGGTTAGATTAGAATAACCTACTAGGGTACAGTACTAAGTACAATACTGAGTAGATCAATATATGTGCTATACATAAATTAATTAAAATGTTGTGCTTGCACATTGATTTCATCTGTATGCAGTTTTTCATTTTTAGAAACAATTTTAAGAACACCTTAAGAACTGATTTTGCAGAAAACACCTGATATAAAAGAACAAAATCAGCCTGAACTCCCAAAACATGTGTTCTTTTATGCGGGTTTTACTGTAAAAGAAGTGTATCTATGGTCAAGGCTTTTAACAAAAGTATGTGGTTAAAATAACCAAGATGGAACACTTGGCCAGTGACAGAGGGGATTGGAAGCGATTTGTCAGTGGCCTATGCTCCGAAATGGAGTGAAAAGGCTTCAGATTATATCAGATGCCGCTAAATTAGAAACTTATTTCAAGAGGGGTGGAGATAATTTAAAGCAAAAAACTTCTATAAGTGGGGAGCATGGATATTGCCTACTATTGTGTTAGCAAATCCAATGACAACAACATTATTATAGTAGAGCAGTTTTCATTTGAGTGTCGAAAAGTAATTGGTTTTGCATCACTATGCTACACAGTTGGCTTAAAAACTTGTGCCAGTTTGTCATCCATTCAGAAGTAAAACCAAAACTAATCATAAGTCGCTCCCATCATTTTTGTACTTCAGATAGTACTGGTTTAGTACTTCAACAAGCCAGCACACGAGGGATATATTTTTTCTGGCATATAAATACTTTCAAAAAGGACATTAATAACAAAAAGGTTGTTAATAGTTTATTACCTTTTCCCAGAGCTCATCAATTTCCATCTGTTGTAACCGATCATCATCCAAGCTAATTTTTCTGCTAAGTTGTTTCCTGAGAAGACCAAGATCTCCTCTGAGCTGATCATTCTCTGTCTTCACCTAAAAATACCAACCACAAGAACCTTGGTTACACAGCAATCCTGTGATGTTCAAAAAAAGTGTTCAAATGTTGTTGTTTATAGTGGACAATGTGCTTAGCTACACCTAGCTAGTTCAAAGGCATGCCACCTTAACTGAAAGAAACAAATATTTCAAACATAAGGCTACAATATCGCAACTGGTGGCAGGCAGACCACCTGGTTACTTACAAGCATGACTGAGGAGTTGAACTAGGGTTTACCGAGAAACAAATCCAGCTTAGTGGTCAGAGCAGGACTTGAACCCACAACCTCCAGATTTCAAGTCCGGTGCCCTAACCACTCGCCCGTGCTGCCTCCCAAGATGATATTATGATTCAATGATTTGTTTGTTTGTTTGTTCCTTTCTTTGTTGTTGTTTTTCTTTTTCAAAAGAAAGAAGCTAATTTATGTCTGGTTTTCAATGGCAATGGAAGTATACCTGAGGAAGGCAGGTGCACAAGCACAAAATTCCACACAAACAGTGACAAATAAGAAAATTAAGGAAAATTCTGACAATCAACACGGTGTTGAAACAAGAAGCTGATTTTGATGTCAATGCATCTATAAGTCTTCCAGAATGCATTAAAATGATGTTATGTTTTCTAGATTTAATTTCAAGGGGGATGTCTCTCAAATGAAATCCCTAGAAGAAATAGTTATACCTTTGGGGCTCCTCCCATCTAAATTTTTGGTGGTTAAGAAAGCATCTTTCAATTGTACTGTGGCAACCCTTGCAGGAGTTAGTATAGCAAAAATTTTAGATTAAAGTATTGCAGAGTGTTTAACAAATGCTATCACGGGCTTCTTCGTTAGGATCTTCACCTACTTCAAGAATTAGTGACAGCCCTGGTTTAGTACTTGCACAACAGTTGCAAGCATTTGAGAATTTATCGTCAGTTTAGAACTTTGAATCATCAGTAAAGATATTTTATCATTCAAGAATTGACAGTGGGGACACTACATTTACTGAGCTTAAGGATGCCCATCAATAAGGTGAGGAATTGCTTCAGTTACAGACACAAGCAAATTCTGATGAAAAAAAAACAGGCCTAATAATTTCTTGACAGGCTGCTTCATCCACAAGACTGCACATAAGAATAGCTGGTTAGTTGACAACTACACTTTTGAGAGTTTTAACTGCTTAGGAATATCCTGCTCTGTGTACTTCAAAAAGTAACTCCCCTCATTTTTAATCAAATGAAAAATTCAAATCAATTGAGAAATTTCACTTTTGTCTGTCAAAATTTTCTGAACAGTCAAGTATTTGACACAAAATGAAATGGAAATAACTCCTGCTCTGTCACTACCTATGAATAATACATGTAGGTTTCTTGCATGTCATTCTACCCTGTGAGCCGAGGTCCCTTCGATCTTCCTAGAAGAGTCAGGAAGAGGAAGGGTAATGTCATTCTTAATCAGCGGAAAAATGTCATAAGTTGAAAACCTTTAATAAATTTGTTGCTCAACATTTTTGTCCATCAAGATAGGACACTAAACAACAGTAATGTGACTGTCATAATAAAATGCTGGTAATTTGAAACTCCTGCCTCCTACGTCGTACACTCAAATGTCAGAAAGAAAGATGTATGTTATTGACAGTTAATTAGCAAATGGCAGCTAAACAAACCAATCATCAAAAAAGAGGAAAATTTCCCACTGCGGATTTCGCAATTTTGGAAGATATATAAACACAGTCCATGTAAAATATTATATAACTAAGCTGTATTCGGAAAACTAGAAATCTTATTGGACTACCTAATAGTTATTATTCACATATCTGGCAATAACTTCAAGTCACCAGCAATTGTGCAAATCTGAAGACAAAACTGAAACCACAAAAATCAAGTGGTAACATAAAACAACTGGAAAATATTAATTTTTCTGTTGTTTATACCAGTTAAGTCACTGATAATGAAAATACATGTAGGGAAACTGTTTGACTCAAATACTTTGTTTTCTTTGACCAAGAAAAAGCTAATTTTACTGTATACCATCTTAAAACTAGTGGTAAATTTAGAAACTTGAGGTTAATGTGGTTGGAAAAGGTGATACCCTCAATATAGTAACATTACCAAAATATGAGTAAGCTTCAAAGCCACTAAGTGATAAATTACCATTGGAACTAAAATTTGTCTTGTTCAAGAAAACTTGCACTAGACTTGAGAAAGATATGAGTGTGGAAACTTTTACTTTATTACCAACATGAATACCTTAGGCAAAAATTCCCTTTTTGTTTCTTACACATTGAATGAATGAATAAACACTTGGCTCCTAAATGAGTATTAACTGCATTTTTCACAAAATGTATTAGTTCAACAAGAATTTTTCTATTTTGTGTTTTTCAGTTAATGTTTTCGAGAAGCCTGTTATTATTAAAAAAAATATTCTTATGGCGAATGTTTAAGGCTTTAGTGGTTTTGGTGGTGAGAACAAAAATTCAAAATTCCCATCTTCCTTTGATCAGTTAATTACAAGTTTGTACATTAAACACAGTAATCAATTAAATGCCTAATAAATTCAGACAGTTTATTAGAATAAATCTACAGGATAACCAATGGCTCATAATTTTTAGGTGTCACTTAAAATATAGTTGAACCTCCACTATAAGACACCTCTTTACAACTGCCAGAGTTTTTTCATCTTGGAAGTATTTCTATCCATACACTCAACTGTAATTAAAATATAACCAGAGAGAGGTTCAACTGTATTCAAGTGTAATTCATCCCTCAGAGCTCCCTAATAATAATTATGGAAATTTTTTTCTTGCCACCTGCTTTATTTTACCATTGATTCTTGGCAATGAAAGACTTACTGTATAAATAAAATTGATATTTTGTTATTATTAACTTCTGACTAAAACTCTACTGGAAAACCTTGTGCATCACCGTGCTAGCTTAAATATGGACATCATTTTCCCTAAATGTATAAATTGCATTTTTTTTTTTAGATATAGAGTGTGGTAAGACTTGTCTACAAAATTGTAGGCATTGTCTTGAAATGTGTCATGCAGTTAATGATTTCAGTGTGAACAGATTTTGTAGAAGCATTTTTTGTATCGCAAATTTACGAGGGGCCCAAAGGTTCCTAACCATGAAACCCTGGGTGCCCAGCACATAATTATATGATTATATGAGGAAAGTGAGTTTTTCCAGTCACCTAAAGGCAAAAGTTATTTGCCTATGGAGCCCGGGCACTTCTAGAGCACAGCCCTGTATCTACTGAAAGCCACTACCCACCCCAGTTCAGTGAGATTTTCAGTAAACAAGGAGCAATTGCAATTATTGATTGAATAACTTCACATACTGTGCCAAAACTGAATCCCACAGTGACAATTTATATTCATGTTGTTGCGCTTAAATCACCAAGTCTGTTCTATTATCCACAGAATATAATACACAAAGCTAGACTGGTTCATTAATTGCAGCAGTACTTAGGTTAATTTAACTATGATGAACAAAGAATTTTAAAATCCTTTTCTTCTTTACTCTGGTGACAGCTGGAAAGGATTTTGAGGAGCTGCTAAACAGTCTGACACGTGGGCTCAGACCACATGCAATGAACCTTGAAACATTTGTGCATTGATTTTGAAGCATTCAAGAGTTAAAGTAATATTAATTATAATTCATATGAGGGTGGTTGAAAGACTACCCTCACAGTGTCTCTGTCTGTCTAGTGTCTTTGTACGTCTAGTGAAAAACGAGAATTATTTTGTAGGGGAATTCAACCAGGCCATTCATTTGATGTGTACAGTTGCACAGTGCTACTGAAAGTTTAAAGGCTTGAATGAATCTAGAAATATTTAGTATGCTGGTTTATAACTTAACAGATCTGGTCCAGCAAGATTTTCATCAGCCCTCTAATCTACACCATCCAAATTACATGTACCTCTAATCTTTGTTTTAGGATTAAATTTTAGCCAGCAATCAGCTTTGTTTACACTGTTGAAATAGCCGAGAGCTTGCTGTTAACTTCTGCCATGAGATTAAGATTTTTTAGCTTGTTATTAAAGCAAATTTATCCTGCTGTGTGCAATGTTACATTGTCAGAACCTTGAGGTAAAGATCCAGCCCTCCAACTTCATCAACAAGTGCCTAATACAAAGTTTTAACAAAAACGTGTACGGTAGTTATGAATCTGACCCTAATACATAATGTAACCATTTTCATCAGAAATATGTACAACTGAACATTGGTTGATTGTAGCATGCACAATGGAATGTTGTTTGAATTTTGCATTAAAATAGTTGTCTCCATATGTTTTTCTTAAATAATTATAACAACTCAAAACCACAAAGTAGATGTGCTGTGATAAAAATGTAAGAGATTTATATTTGGAAACAAAACATAAAATGTAAACCCACACAACTTAGGAATGCAATTTTCAGCCTGTTAAGGAGTCAGCTTGACGGCAGAAACTTGCAAATAATCTCAGTGACATAAGCTGCCTGGCAGTGTGGAACTCAGCAAAAACGGAAATGACTGTCTCAATCTATTCACTCTTTTAGATTTATTTAAATTCTGTTTAATCTTTGATTTACAACCTTTGACATACAATCCAGAAACAAATTCATTCGAATTATATCATTTCTCATGGAAATAAAAATCATGCCACACTTAGAAAGTTCTAGTTTCCATCATTTCACCAAGAATTTCAGCTCTATTTTCAAAACTAATGTTGCGTGACTTATTTACCTAACAAATACAATAAATGAAGGCACCCCATGGAGGAATTATTTCTTAGAAGGACGCTAAGTAATTTCAAAAAACAATCGCAATTTATTGTCATCACGTAGCCCTTCCATTAAAACTGTGTTTTTATCCCTTTAAAGTATTTCCTTGCAATCCCAGTCTTAACTACAAGAAAAGTCAATTCTTTGCATTACTTATACAAAATCTGAAAAGGATATACAGAACTTTTTTCAACATATTGATCATAAGGTTGGCCATGCATTGCACCCATTTGAAGGCCTCTTTTCACAAAATAATAAACAAAAGAACTAGCTTCAAGCACGTGATTTACAAAAATCTCGCAGCAGTGTACAAATCTTTTGTTGAATGAAGCCACTCACAATGTTTCACGGCCTTTCTTTGTTGTCAAATTCATACAAGAAAACTATCTCAGTCAAAAAAATATAAGGTGTTGCTTCTGAAACCCGCTCAATATCGTAATACTTCTGTATTGGCTCTGGTACCTGTTCTAAAGCCAATATGGAGGTTTTTCTCAACAAAAATTTAAGAATATATCAATGCAAGATCAGTAGTACCTAAATAAAGCCTGATACAAAAGATATGTTTTTGGTTTACACTCATGTAGTCAGAAAGCCAATAAATGACATAGTCCCTATCGATTTACCGACAGTGAAAGAGATTTTCTAAGATGCCCTCTTGTTACATGAACAGTTACAACGCACAATTAAAAGGTGACATGCACAATAATTGTCCCTTCGAAGAAATGTACACGACAGATTGAAATCAGCAAGTTGCTGGTTTCAGTGAATTGACTTTGAGAGCAATATAAGCTTAACTAACCCACTAAAACGACAATCCTACGTTTTAGAACCCTCTTCTCGTTTCCTAACATTCAAGTAACTTCTTTTCCCAGCTTTTCCCGAACGTTCTATCGCTTGCATGAGCTGGTGCGTGAGCTTAGAAGCATTCATATCAGAACTAGAAGCGGCTAAAATCATATTACATCTAGAGATAAGGATAGACCAGTTTCTAAATACACCTTTCGTCATCTAAATCACTTGTGCGACGGTGAATCAGCAGTCAAAAAGCGATTTCACTCCGTTTCAGACAGGTGTACTTAAATTTCAGGTATAAGCGATTCTTTCAAGGTGAAAATAGGATTTATTGACACGAGTCAATTTGCAATTTCGACCACAATGAAAATCTCCTGCGATTCTTATGCAACAGATCCATAAAAAAGCAGTCACTAAGAGAACTATAGCTAAAACAGGCAAAGATTCCATTTAGCGGACGACAATGAGTTAAAATAATGTCTTACTATGAGGCGGCAGAAGTAGTTCTCCATCGAAAATCGACTTCAACGCGCGCTACAAGCTTCCTGCTTCTCGAATTACGATAGACTCGAGAAGGATCGAATTTCGTAAGTAAAATCTAATCCGACGAAAACTCGTCATCGCCATATATTTACACATAAAATTTCCGGTAAAAAACCCGCAACATTTCCTTGTGTATTCGTATCCTCGAGAACTGAACAAACTGCGTTTAAACATTACTACGATTCTAAACTTGGATGTGTTCCTGCTCTGAAGTGTCTTGACTTCGGAGTGGAAGTTTGGAAGCCACCTCCGCCCAAATTCAAAACTTTTTACCTGTTTATCACTTGAAAAACTCACCTTTTGAAGATCTGAATGAAGTTGCTCGTTCTCTTCCGTCAATCCGGCAAACGTTTCCCTTTTGCTTTGTTTGTCGTTTATCGAGTTGGACTGTAATGTTTTTAATTCATTACGAAGTGCTATCAAATCAGCCTGCAGTTCGTGTACCCGAGAGTCGTTCGCGTCTTCCAAGCGTTCCACTTTTAATTTGAGCTCATATTTATCCTGTTCCAGTTCCTAAACGAATGATAAAATTTGCTGTTAGAACTTTCTGGTGATAAAATTTATTCTACTGTAAGTAAACCTACTGACAACCTGTTTCATGACAAAGCAAACTGACTCGCGCAAACAACACTAAAAGACCTACGATATATTCAAACGGCTTACTTCGACAACTTGGGAATACTCTTCTTGTAATAATTCATACTTCTGACTGAGTTCTTCGTTCTTCTCTAAAAGAGCTTTTCCCAGCTCTGCAGCTAAGAGAAGATCCTTGTCTTTCTGGGCCAACTGCCGATAAACATCGTCTTCAGCCTCGTCATTGTCGTCAGCCAAAATTTCTCCGTTTTCGTCTATTCCATTACAAAAATCCCTCTCAAATTCATCACAATCCTCTCCAGTTACATCTTTGTCACCGTGAAAATTGTCAACTCCAATTTCATACTCGTTCATGTCCAAAGAGTAAGCTACTTCTTTAGGGATCTTCATTTGCGTTAGCTCCAACCGACCGCCATAACTTTCACGCATGAATAAGACCTCGCACATGACCAAAGAAGAACAGACGTAATGTTTTGCGTAGGAGAAAGCAAATTTGCATGAACCTGACTTATTGTTTACCGCTGCTAAGCGATACGGTGTATAACTCAGCACACTTCTTTATAGCCTAAATATGCAAATTTGAGTGAATTTATATTCAAGGCTTCAGAGTGCTTTCGCCCAATCGCGCGTTTTTTCCTCGCCGCTAGCCAATCAGAAGTGAAAAAGCGGAAATATGGACTCAGCCGGGTGTTTCGTGCCTAAGGTCAGTATCAATTAACATTTACGTCATCCGATTTCCAAGTTGATTACATTAATAACGCAGTTTTTATAATAATAACAATAGATTTTTTGCATTCGTCACTAACAGACCAGCAATTTAATCGGAGAAATGCAATTCTTATCACGCTTGGTGCCTCGCGCCTCGCTCATCAGAATGTAAACAAACTGATGAATATTCGAGAGAGCTAACAAGGAGCTGTTGAAAAATTGCAATGATCTTTTAAAATTTTTGATTTTAAAACATAACAAGCAAACAGGATCACTAGTCTAAAAAGAAAAATATTTGTACATTCTTGTCTTTTGACATCACCAAGAAAGTAATCACAAAAAACACGGCTGATTTTCGTGAGGTATTTGGGAAAATTACATCGTGACGTCACCAGATTGGCGGGAATAAATAAATCACTTATCTCATGGTCTCACAAACAAAAGAACATTCGATTCACTTTTTAATTTTAGATTCTTGAAATTTCAGGGCGCCGCGATATCGTGTTGTGATAAAGCTATGACTCAGCTTACTGTTTATCAAAGACAAAAAACTCGTTTCAAGTACACTACAGTTGCAACAACGACGAAACGTTTAACTTTTCGCTTAGAAGGTCAAGGCGATTCAATAATGCATAATGGCTGTTCCTTTCAACATCCTGTTCTTGAATTAGAGAATTTCAAGTATTAGTCTTCCTGTTACAAATAAACATCGAGTTTCATATTTCCATATCTACCATTCTCGACGAAGGATTTGTTTCACTGTCAATTTTTCGGCTACGAGTAATGGTGTTAATAATACTAGAGTAAATAAAGGATTAGTTGTCCGTTATAACCTCTAGCTTCCCTGTCGCACCGCGTATTTAACTCCTTCGTGTTCCTCCTTAGCGAAAATCCGTGTTTTATCGCGTTCAAGCTTCTTTCCGACAAAAATAACTTGCAATGTAAATGCAGGGAAATATCATTTGCTGATAATAGAACAAAATCTGTAAATTCTTTAGACATCATATTGCACTCCGAGCTTATATTTGAAGCCGAAATTTTATGACTTTACCAACAAGGATGGGCGACTGAATGTTGCGGCGCCTTCTTACATGATACGTCTACGGGTGAAAATGAGTTGTTTGTCTGAGCCCATGATTCTACCACTCGTAACACACTCACAACCTTCTCGGAAGTTCTCACAAACGGTTATTGCTACAACAAAGCTTTTTCTCCCATGGACTGTTAATTGAATCATACGGTTTGAAAACCGGATCCTCGAAATGAGGGAGCAATAGCCTTATGGAACTGGGGTGAACTTCGAAGACCCCAGGGGAATTCCCACACTAAAGTTACGGGGTCGTAACGATAGAGGGACGTTTTGAAGAGGTCAGAGAGCGGCTCGAATTTATTTCTGCACTCCGAACTTATAGTTTTAGCCGAAACTTTATGCCTTTACTAACAAGGATGGGCGACTGATCATGAATTTTGTGGCGTTTTCTTTCATGATTGATTCGCGTGCGGACAAAACTTCGAGAGTTCAGTTATGGTACTGCGGGAACCCATGACTCCACCACTTCTAACACACTTACAACCTTCTCGTATGTTCTCATAAATGATTATTGCTATAACAAAACTTTTTCGAATTCTCTCATGGACTCGTAATTAAAAGATAAGCTTTGAAAATCGGATCCTAGAAATGAGGGGGTTATAGCCTTACGGAAGTGGGGTGAACTTCCAAGACCCCAGGGGAACTCCCACATATAGGGACATTTTGAAGAGGTCAGAGAGCAAGGCTCGAATTTATTTTTACCCGTTCGAGCAACTAATATCAAAACAAATTTCAGATAAATAGCCTTGATAGAAATACTCGAACACATTCTACTCGACCAAGCCTTAATTTATTAAGTAATACTATCCCATTTTGCATTTTGCAATAAGTAATTTTGATTTAATGACATGTAAGTTATGTCATTTTCTCCGGTTCACGTAAAATACTACTGAAAAAATACCGCTGCAACAGGAAATGAGATCGACGACCCAGCTTTCCCCAGGTTCCTTTTCCTAACAATTTAGCAAAGTCGTCAGTTTTTCCTGTGTGGTTACGTAGACGTGGCTGTTCTTTTACTACCGGGTTGATAATGCGTAAAAGGAACAGCTGCGAATATGGCTTTTCATTTCAATATTTTTATTTGAACATATAGAAATGGTCGAGTGCTTTTCTATTCACAAGAGCCTTTAATTTTTACTAATACTACTCATTTTGCATTTTGTAATAATTTATTTTAACATCACGAATTAAACTAGGTCCGTCATTTTTTTTCCCGGTTCACTTGAAGTAGAACTGAAAAAAAAGTACCGATGCAACGGGAAGGAAGACTGAAGCCCCGGCCAAACGATCGCTATGTTGTGTTGAAATGTTGCGATCGTTTGGCCGGGGGTTAAGAGTAAGGCCCCGTCTGAAAACAGAGGTTTAATTCTACGGTTAGGCCTACCGTCCACACTAATACGTCACGAAAATGGAGCCTTTCGAAAAGGCTCTTCAAACCGGAGGAATTTGAAAACGCAGGATCTTCGTTTTCGCGTGGACCGAAAACATTTTGAAAACGAAGCTTTTTCGGAAACGATGGCATAATACACTCAACATTTATCACCGAATCGTTGTGTTCTGAGTGTTTTCATGACATATCTTCTGTTTGTTTGTTCGAGGAAAACATAAAGTACAGATGATAGCAATTATTAGGTAAACTGGGAGAAAGCAATGTGCTTAAAATATTTTAGGAGTTGCGTCAGCTAGTACACGAGATATGTGGGCGTTCAGCTTTGCATCACCATTTTCGAAGTTGTTGCCAAAACAACAAAGCTAGAAATAAAGCAGAATTTAACGACAATATTGTGAATTTCCCATTTGTAATTCATGCTCTACATATCATATCCGGACATTCAAAAATGACAAAAAAATATTAAGTTCTTGTAAGTTATAATTAACTTTGAGCCAAAAGAACGTTGGGTGAACATGTACAAGGCTCGAAACGCCCACAGTTTGTATAGAATGGTCCAAAACAAACTATCTCTTTCATCACCGCTTTGATGACGCTAAATTTTCCATCTCGAAGAAAAATTGATATTTGGGCAACAAGTTGGTCCAACCTGCCAAAAATCTCAAGTACCTTTATCAACATTAAAAAGTACTGGCTACAACATGAAAACTTGCCCAGTGTTTTATCTTGCTGTTTAAGACGTAGCTCCCTATAGCTTTACGATCGCACACGCGCTGAGGACTAAAGCTCAAGTAATCAGCACGCGCTCGAAGGAAAACGTCAGCGTTTTCCGATATTTTATGACGTCAACATGAGCACAAAAAGCAAAACTAACAGTGAATTTTCTCGCGTTTCCTTCGGTGAATTTTTTAAAATTTGGCTCAGTTGTAACCTCACTCAATTCCTATATTAAAAACACCCTATTCTTTGTTAAAATCTGTCAGAGCTAATCTAATATATTTAGAAGAATGACAAATTACAGAATATTGGAAAAACCGTCTGAACAACCTTGACTTTTTACCAATTCAAAATGTCAGGCAATATCATTTCCATGATGTGGCAAAGTATGAAAAAATTTCACTGAAGGAAAGCATAAATATTAAGGAGTTTAGGCCAAACTAAGGAACATATCTGCCTGCCATTAGATGAGATATTGCCATGGTAACGGCCTTAATCCAAAATTGACAACCAAAAAATAAGCCTTTTTTTAACAATTCCCATATTAATAAATCTCTTCAGGGAAAACTTTAAGAGAAATTAACTAAGTTTCCTTTTCTAACTCGCGCTCTGTAGGGAGGGTGTTCGTAAATACTCTAGGGAGCCACGTTAAGATAAGTACAGCTGAGCCGCTCCTTATGGACACCGTCAAGAAACACACACCTGTATAGAGAGTAATAAACATTTTTGAAATCCACTTACCCAGTGGGCCAGTAAATTTCAGTTTTCACTCGCCCCCCCCCCGCCCCCCCTTAATGAGCGCAAAAATAGTTTTACAGTGAAACCCTGTATTATTAAGCGGACCCCATAGTAAGCGGACACTCTCTATTAAGCGGACACCAGCTTGAGTCCCTAAATTTACAGTGAAATAAACCTGCATTCAGCGGACACCTCTGTTAAGCGGACGCGGACACCAACATTAAGCCATTTTGTTGCCCAAAACCTGCAATAAGCGGACACGTCAAGGGCATTTTTTTTCTAAAAGCTCAGCTCAGACTCCTGTAACATTGTTCAGCGATGCCGTTTAAAAGCTAAGTGGATTATTCCAGATTGATGTATTGACTAACAGCTGGACATTGTGCTATGAGCAGTCTCTGATCTTACACTGTGTTACAAAAGGGTTAATAATTAAATATCATTGCAAAATATATTAAAACCTTCTTTGAGCGGACAACCTGTATTAAGCGGACACTAGTGAGTGTCCCAAGGGTGTCCGCTCAATACAGGTTTCACTGTAATGGCATTTTTGAATTTCCTGTTACTAATACGCTCAACATTTATCACCGAATCGTCATGTTTTGATTTGTTTTCTTTGAATATGACATATCTTCTGTTTGTTTGCTTGAGGAAAACAAAAAGTATATATGATAGCAATTATACAGTAAAGAAAAACAATTTGCTTGAAATATTTTAGAAGTTGCGTCAACTTGTACACAAACTACGTGGGCGTGGGCATTTTCGAAGTTGTTGCCAAAACAACAAAGCTAGAAATAAAGCAGAATTTAACGACAATATTGTGAATTTCCCATTTGTAATTCATGCTCCACATATCCTATCCGGACATTCAAAAATGGCATTAAAATATTAAGTTCTTGTAAGTTATAATCAACTTTAAGCCAAAAGAACGTTGGGTGAACATGTACGAGACTCGAAATGCCCAACAGTTTGGATAGAATGGTGCAAAACAAACTATCTCTTTCACGATCGCTTTGACGACGTTTAATTTTTCATCTCGAAGAAAATTCTCTGCGATATTTGAGCAACACACTTGTCCCAGCCTGTGAAAAATGTAATGTTTTATCTTGATGTTTAAGAAAAGTATAGCTGAGCCTTTCCTGAAAGACACCTTCAAGAAACAGACCTCTATAGAGGGTCTTTCTCCATCTCAGATTTTAACTCACGCCTGAGCCGGAATTGGTCGAAATGTTCACCGTCAGCTGATGTGTTTTTCATCTGATATCCGAGGCTTTAGGCTCGATTACCAACCACTGTTTCGGGAAATCAGCCCGCGCTCATCCCCCGAAAAGACCTTTCTCGGGGAGGAACGCGGACGGACCCGAGAGAGAGGCGGAAACTGAATCAAGCCTATCGGAGGCCTGAGATCTTCAAAACTTGCTGGACGGGTTTTATTTTAACCGATACTTGAAAAATCGCCGAAAACGTTCTGATAACAGGTATTCTTTTATCCCCGACGATACCCTCGCTGTAGTCCACTTTGTCCCAGAGCAACCAGAATTTCTAAAACCACTCCCTTTAATTTAAGAAACAGACACTTGTACGTAGACCTTTAGTCAGTTCGTATTAAGAGAGAATCGACTGTAGTTTAAGACGCTGAAATGTTAGAATAAAATCTGACAAAATAGTCTTTTTAGCAGTGTGTTACTGAATCTATATTAAGGGAGCTCACCTTAGAAAAGCCTGGGAGGGGTGAGAGGGGGTACACAAGCATTTACATTACTGAGGAGGTCAAGGGAAATAAAGGTTTTTAAGTGAGAAAAATGTAGACATACTTTTTGGCTTCAGTGATAAAATAACTGGACTTTCCTCAACACAATAAAATTACAATATTAATTTAGAGAGGAGGCCACTTCAGCCTTAGCTGGTTTTCATATGGGTCATTTATCCCGGGCAAATTGAAATTTGGAGATGGTGGTTTGTATAGATGGAGGAAAAAAAGAGACCTCGGAACAAGGAGAGAACCAGTAACAAACTCAACCCACATATGGCAGCGGGCTGGAATCAAACCTGGGCCAAATTGGTGGGAGGCAAGCGCTCTCACCACTGGGGCATCCTTGCTACCCAAAGGTTGCATTATAACCTTGAAGGAACTTAACAATAATAACTAAACCGCTAAACTAGAAACATCAAGTTTCATTCGCCATATGATCTGGCAAGTGACACCAATAATGGCTTGCAAGATCACAAGTTAAATTAGACTTATTTTACTATAGTTATCTTATAATGCCATTAGAAACTTCAGAATTAATTCTTCTTTTAAATTTGCGTTTGCATTACAATATTTATTTTGTCATCTACTTTCCCCAGATTAAAACATTCCATCACCACAAAACCAGAGGATGCCACTCTTGTTGGAAGTGAACCATTGAAGAACACAATCCCAAACTACTGACAAGACTTAGCTACACACACATGGCTACTTATTACTGTCCTATTGAATAAGAAAGGTGCTTGCTGTTAGTGCTGTATTATGCCTTGTTCTATAAAGCATTCTGAAATGTGTTGAAAAGTGCACCAAAATGTCAGTACACAGTGTTTTCAGTAGAGTACACAGTCACATTCTTTTTGGTAGGAGGGCATGCAAACTAGCCATTTGAGGGATGGCGAATGGTCCTTCAAACGAATATTCGTATTTCGATAAAAAAATACACTTCTTGCAAAGTTTTAAGCAATGTTTTCACTGATCTTGCAACCTAAAATTATTTTGCTCTCTCAAATTCTTTTGCAAGGTGAAGGAGACCTCAAGTTCACAAAAAAAATTCAGTCTATTCACCACCTCTCATTTGAATCAATAATGTTACTGGTTTGCATTGTCATGCCATCAAAATAAAACAAGTACCCATTGATTAAATTAAGTCAAGAATCTAGGATATGATAACGATCAATATGTACCAGCCTTCCCAAAAATTAAGGTCTGCATTTTTTTTGATGCATGTGTTACTTCAAAAAGAATTCACCCAGATTTATAGAGGTTTGTATACAGACACCGTGTTGGTGTCCCTCAGTGGGGCACAAATGTGGCAGTCTAAGAGAACAAGATATCTGTGATGAGTTATCATACTAAAGGACCATTCAGTAAGCAAAATGTTAAAGATGAGTTCTAAAGTCATGGGTCAAATTTTGACCTATGTTTCCTGTGTCACCATATTGATAACCTAATGCCACATCTTCCTTCTTTAAAAAAAGGCGCCCGATCACAGGTTACCATTTTAATATCAAGCAATGCAAAAGCTCAGAAATTGAAATGTATTCTAATACAAAATGAAAAACCCTAAAGGACCATTCAGTAAGCAAAATGTTAAAGACAAGTTCTAAAGTCATAGGTCAAATTTTGACCTATGTTTCCTGTGTCACCCTGTCATTAGTCAAGTTAAATCTTTGCACCAAAGCATCTTGTTCTTAGAAGGTCTAATATCTAATGAAAATAAAAACACAGAAGGATGGGTAAATTGTGATTCTGAAATAGATGTCAAATGCAAACCAGCAAATGCCACTATGACCTATATGTCTCCCTTACATGCAAACCTGTTGACAACAAGCATAAATACAGTTATCCTATCTTAATATTAACCTTACACAAAAGTCAGAGTAACAATGAATTCCATAGAAGAACTACTAAAGTGTTTCTTGCCATCCATGAGCTGCATATTTATATCAAGCTCCGCTCAACCTTTATTTAGTAGCGATATTTTGTGGAATAATCTTTAGGTGAAACTACCAAGCCACGGCCTTTCCGCGCTCCTCGGTACACAGTCTCAACGATATCCACCATTTCCTGCTTGTCTGTCAGGGCCCAGTTTATCTTATTGTTGTTTCCAGTGCCCAAGTCGATCATGATGTGTTTGTTTCGGTAGAAGAACATGGTCGTACAAGGGTCGTACAATTCATACATTTTATTAAAGTCTGGAACTTCTGTAATGTCCACTAAGTAAATCACAGCAAAGTTCTTGACTTTGTCTGCAATGGCGTACAATACTTCGTCCATTTTCATGCACGATGGATCCCAGTCGTGACCGAAGCGGATTACGACAACTCTGTCTTCTTCCCCCATGATGGCCTGATCAACTTGCCAACCATTCCTGAGATGTTGAAGCATGTACGACATATTGGAAGCTGTTCTTGAGCAGAAACGACCGCAGATCGATTGAGTAAAGTTTTCGGCGTCTTTTGAGTGTTAAATGTTGCTTAGATTTCACCAATTCCTCGCTGTAAGGACTGTCTTTCTGAAGACGTTGCCTTGACGTTGCCGAACAAAATGGCGGAAGAAAAAAATCCCATCATGCATTTGTTTGCCCAAGTAGTTCCAGTCTTTTTCAGTAGTCCGGTCCCAGAGCACCCAGGCCCCGAAAGGAAAATTACTTCCTAGGATGGGAAGATCCACGGAAAAAATTTATCGCGCGCACGTTGCGTGGACGACTTTAGAATATATAGATACCTAGCTAAAATTAAAAGGAACGATAAAAAATGGGTTCATCTTGCCCCAAGATCTTATTCGTCTCATAGATAGGCTAGGCCGGAGGAAGAGGAAAACCACTAGCATCTTTCTAGAAATTCTCCTAACAAGTTCCATAAATTTCATACAGGACTAGTGGGAGAATTTGTATTTCATCAGTAGCTAGACAATTTTAAGGGTTGGTTCTGGAGCACTTCATTAATACATGACTTTAAGCTTTGTGGGTGGGTGAATGTTACATTTTAGTAGAAGGCATCGACTTCAAAGATTTTATTCCACATCCTGGCCAGTGAACTGATGTTCAAATCGCCCACACCATGTACAAGAGACAAGATTCCCGACCTGAAAAATATTCAGAATCCCAGTGAAAAATACCAATTTAAACAAGCTTGTGTAATTTTAGCAGATGCTAGGGGGAAAATGTTTTTTAGAACGACCTAAAAATAGATACTTTGATAAATCGCGATACTGTATCCGGTTCGGACGGTTGTATCGATTACATAATCTCTAACAGAGACAAGATAGTCTGCATGTACGAAATAGTAAGACCATGCATGTAACAATCACCAAAATAGCGTCAAACAAAACCTCGAATTACATAAGGTGTAGGATTTTATCAAGAACTAAATATAGAGAGTGGTTTGTTACATATCTATGAAGGAATTCAGTCATATTTTCAACAGAAGCTTTGAAAATTCTAAGCCATACGTAACCAACGTAAAGCTTCTTCTTTCGAAGTTGCTCACGACGTTTATTTGCACTACCGTTCTATTCCTGTTTTCACAATCTTTATACGTCTACCTTACTTTCTCGAGCCTTGCCTAAATGATGGGGCTCACCTGGTAACCATAGTGAAAAACAGCTGAATTTAACTGTCAGTTACCATGGTTACAGGGTCACTGGTTAGGGAGAAAAGTGCCGACCGGCTCGTATTTCTTGATGACATTAATTTAAAGGAGCTCAGTCACGGTTTGCGCGTATTGAAAAGTTAAGTCTCAATTTTTCAAATTCGTCGTTTGTAATCCGTGTTAATCTTCTCCACCCTTAGCCATCCTTGTTCCTTTATGGTTTATCACTATGTCTTTGGTATTTTTCTATCTTATTAAACAGGTTCCCTACCATTTAAAGGTTATTTTGTTTGTGGCCAAACTAAATCAAAATACCGTGACTGAGCCCCTTTAACTGATTGTGATATAGGAAAGCCTCCGTGCTTCTAGAAGACGAAATGACGCTTACACAGACCTGCTGACCAGCATTGTATTAGAAGTGCTATTACATTTGCTATTAGCATCGCCGTATCACTGGCACGGATTTCGTTCCGAAAAGACTACTTTTCCGCCAGAAATCGTTGAAACTGAGCGGAAACAAGTTTACCAAATATACTGAGCAATTCCTGAAAATTCTTAGTTCCAAACGCCATGCAAATGTTTAGGTTTCTTAACTTTAACCTCACTCTGTTACAAGGAACGAAACGACTGGACTGTATTTCGGAACACCTTTATCAAGTACTTCAGTACGAGCCCATGATCTCAGAGTTCTGGTGAGAATTAAATCAATTAATAGCTTTAAAGATACCCACAAATCTAGCCGGCAACCTAAATATCACAAACGAGTTCTTGTCGAAGAAAAGCCGCTCGATGACTATAGTTGCCAAACTTATATTCTTTCGATTTTGACTTCCGTCCGATGCTGGTCAAATAGGGACTAAGGGGCCGGTGTTAACCCTTTCATATTCTGTAGATCTCTTTTTTTTTCCCAAAACAGTGAATTTTTTTTTTTACAACTCACCTGTTTTTCATCAGTTGTGTCTATCACCAATACACCAAACTAGGATCAATATATTTAAGATTCAGAAAATTAAGGCCTGCTTTAATCGTAGAGATATCACAAGTACCCGCGCTTTTAAACATGAAGTGATCCCTATTCACTCTGGATAGAAAGCTAGACCATCTCAAGTCACTTCCCGGACATTTTAAGTCAGTGGTTGCCCTTCCGATTTGCCACCTCCTATTTCCAACCTAAGAAAGAGCACAGCACAAAGTCCAACTAACCCCTCTCCCACCCCCCTTTCTGCGAAACAGAAACAGCTGAAGAACAAGGTCAAGGAACGTTCTACATGATACTTGTCATAAAACTTCAAATAACAAATTAGTACTTCTAAAACTTCATCTCAAGACGAACTGCTTAAACCCCAGAAATGTCTTGTGTTACGGTATTCATCTTGCATATGTTTTAAAAACTTTTATGACAAATTGGATTCTATAATTATTCATTATCATTATGACCCCTGTTCTGAGCACTATATTAAGCCAGGGTAACATCAGTTAAGTTTATTATCATAAAGCTTGCGTGATAATAAATAAAGACTGATAGAGGTTCAGACATCTTGCCTCGTGTATCTTACTATGTCTGTTTTTTAACTCCAAGGGTAAAGTGTGTTTTAAAATCCGGCGGCTAAACTACGGAATACAGGGCCAGTCGTTTTAATCATCTACCAAACGAGCCGGCTCGTTTGGCTCGTTTTTTCCTTTGTCATCCACTGCCCAGTCAAATGAGGACTAGGTCTTAACGCATATATAGATTATTCCTCGTTCTTTCATCCACATGCACTGCCGAGCCAAACGAGCCACTGAATATATGCACCTTCAAAAGTGGCCCTGTATTGTAGCTTATTGTTTAGTTGCTCGGCCAATCCGTCAAGTTTTCAAGATGTGCACGGTCCTTGAACTGAAATTCTTCGGTACCACTGTCAATCAAAATATCCTGGATTAACAAATACATACAAAAATCACCTGAATCTATGTTATGCCGGGACGTATGCGATAAGACGGGTAGGTACGGTATTGCTTCTCGTAGAATTCCCGCCCTCCCCTCCCTTACAGCAAATCAGCGAGAAGTTTATCTTACAAAGGTAATTTGGTATTTCAAAGGAATTCAGCGTCTCCTGTATCGATTTAATTTCCCTTTAACTGTGTTCAAAGCGATGCGCATGTTCCCGTTGTTTAGGAATCTCCTCCGATACGTATTTACCTACGCCATGAGCAACTGATGTTGTGCATTGTTTTCTATTGTCCCACGCGTGTCTGCCGTCTAAACTGCAGCTGGGTGTATTGCATCAGTTCTACGTAACAAAAGCAGCCAACTGAGTAAGATAAGGATATTCAATGCCCATGTAACAGCTGTGTTGCTGTACGGATGTGAATCACGGAGGATGACAAAGGCGGAGGATGAAGCCAAACTAGATCATTTCCAGCACTAGTGTCTGCGTAGGCTTTTAAAAATCTAATGGCCTGTGCCGGTGTCAAATGAAGAGGTGCGCAAGAGAGCTAACATGGAAACTATTAGCGAACAAGCGAGGAGAAGGAGGTGGACATGGATTGGACACGTGCTGCAAATGGATAACAGTTCCCTCCCATGAGTTGCACTGACGGGGGCACTGGAAGGAGAGCGAAAGAGAGGAAGACCCTGAGAAACGTGGCGCAGGACAGAGGAGAAAGAGCGAATGGCGATGGGTTACTGTTCTTGGGTAGAGACAGGGCTGGCGGTGGCTGACAGTGTCTTGGACAATTAAATCAGTTTTGGCCCCACTGTCCATACGGAGAAATGGAACTGACGATGACGTAACAGAAAATGTATCAATCGCATCATATGAGTCAGGCGTAGCCTCAACAATCAGATTTATACTTTGACTTCACGCGCTCAGTTGCTCTCATTTCGAAAGACGCTTGATTCTATCTGAAAAGGTCCATACTGATGATGTGTGTGGAAACCGAGCAACAACGAACTAGTCACACTACACGAAACTCGCTTAAATTTCAGATCTCTCGCTTCATGAGAGAATTGTGCAAGATGCCATGTAACACAGGCTATCTCGACTACAGTTACATCGACTGTGTCAAGATGACCAACTATATACATTTATCAAATGCAACAGTGGAATCAGAAGTACGAAGTAGATGAAAAGAGTAAAACACTCGGCCTCGTAAGGGACGGACCATTCTTACGATTATTACTATTTTGGAGGGTTGTTGGGCAATTTCCCAAAAAGATTCCTGCACAGCAAGAAGTTAAAGGAAATTGTATTTTGAACAGACGCTTTGAAGACCCTCTGAGGCTTCCCTCTCAAAGTTGCTCCCGACGTTTATTTGCACTACCGTTCTATTCCTGTTTTTACAATCTTACATGTAATCGTACATGTAATGCAATAGAAATTAAGTCAAAGTTTTGGCAAAGTTTTGTTCATCTTTTAAAGGTCCATACAAAGATATTTCTAACAAACGCGTTTTACCCCCCCTCTCCCTGGGGGGTGACTCTCTATAATGGCGGGTCCGCCCGAAAGGGGTAACGCTTTCAAGCTTTAGGCATATAAGACGGTAGGAATTTCACAAGTTGAGGTATATAAAAAGGCAGGGAAATCTGTCATTAAGTTATTTTTAAGGGCCTTTAATTAAAATATTTAGAACAGCCGCACCTCATGGCTGTATCATTTCAATTATTAGGCACTACATGAAAATGACAAGACTTCCCTTTTTGGCAAGTTATTCATGAAGTATGTGAAAGGGGTACTTTTTCAGTTAAGGGTACACGTAAAGAGTACCTTTCTGTCAAAACGGTATACAAAAGGGTGTGTGGTTGGACCTTGGGGCATAGAACTTAATAGAGTACCTACCCGGGGGTTTTTATTGCATTCGTTTTCGAACGAAGCTCGGATGAGGCAATACCCGTTTAATGTCAAAAACGACTTAATCACCAGTCAATTTAAATCGAACGGTCTCCGAATCAAGAAATAAACAAATAACAAAGTCCATATAATGTGGAAAAACGGCCTACAGTTATAATTATTAGCAAAAGATTCTCTGATCAATAACTAACCCACTTTGAATAGTATATAATAAGGTTATAATTTAATTTCATCTACCGTAAACTAAATATCAACTGGTGATTAGTTACAATAGGGAATGGAATTATTTACCATGGTTAGTGGCAGGTCTATTTTCTGAAAAGTTTACTCCTAGCTATCAAAACTAGTTATGAAACCAAGTGCATATTTCTGAAACAGGTATTCCACAAGACGGAAAAGATAAACGATACAAGCCTGATAGAGGCACTGCTATGGTTGAAATTTAGAAGCTCAAAAACATAACTGCATTAAGGAAAGCACCAACAATAGTTATAAAATCATATTATTATAATAATTATAAATATAATTAACTATAATAATTATAATTAGTTATTGATTTGATGATCGTCGAATGACCATGAACCATTAGAAAGTGAAGATATTACAAAGGCTGGTTATAATAACAGATTTACGAAAACGGTCTGGAAACAACATGCCAGAAAATAATTAAACATTAAATAGGATAATTTTCAAGCAACCTAACCAATAGCCTCCTGCGCTGACACTTTGTTTTGGATAGCGATGCACAGGAAGTGAGTGCGTGACGAGTCAGATGAATGACCACAGGGCACAAAACATCCTGTGAACACATTTAGTAACAATTTTGCTTTTTGAAAACTGAAAAAAGAATCCAATTTTAGAATTTTACAGTATGAAGAAACACGGAACGCCACATGAAAGTGCTTATCAAAAGCTAGTCTATCATTTAAATGGTCACACACTGGGTGTACATACAAAAAAAAAAACAGTACCGTATGAAAGTCTGCTCTATGACAGTCAACCCCTCTCAAGCGGTCACACCTTTTAGGCAGCCAGGAACAGCCAGTACCCGAGGGTACCGTTTAATAGGGGTTGAACTGCACTTTTAATTGAATGTCACACAACAGGGTTTCAACCATAGAATTGGTCGTTGAAACCAATATGAACATGAATGTACTGTTCAAGAGCTTTCATATGAATGGCCACACACTAGGGTTCCATTCACAGATTTACAAAGTCATGCAAAACTAAGTTAGAAACACTTTGAAGAGTAGAATAAACAGGACCACTATAAAAAGGCTTTAGTTTGTGTAGCTACACACAGAGGTTTAATCCACAGAGGGAATTTCATTTGAATGGTCATAAATGAAGGTTTAATCTAGACTGACTGACGTCAAGTTTGAACCAACCTGTGCACTTTGACAAACAGTAACACCACAACTCTCCATCATTATTGATGAGTCTGTAATTTTATTTTCATGGCCTGCATATATGTGTTTATATTGACTTTGATCAGATATTAAATGCAAATCAACGTTAGGTTTGAAACGGTTGACCTTCCATCAAGCCCTACTCTGTAAGCAAGACAAGGTAAGGCAACAGCCATTAAATAACTAGACTTAATATTCTCTCCATGTAGAAATGTTTCTCATTGTACCAAGTAACTACAGGACATACATCCTTTCTCTCAGTTTCAGCTGTTGTTTGAGTTGTCAAACAATGCTCCTTCGCATTATTTGACATAATAAGAGCTGCAAAGCAGTCTATTTTTTGGAGCAAAATATTAAATGACTTTTACAGAGGGCTACAAAATTGGAGGACAATCAGTTTTTTTATTTTACAGAGATATGGTGGAATGTTCTGCCAAGAATCAGAGTAACATATTATGATATTACTCTGAGCCAGAAACTCCATAATCTTCATGAAAAACTATAAATTTTACAATACATGTCTAACTGTTCAAAGCCTTTGTCAAATAGATATACAGGTTTATTGAGATTCCACCTAACAGGACAAGAAAGAAAGGATAACAATGTGTTATTTGGAGCTGATCCAGCTTAACAAATACATTGCATGTTGCTGTGTGTCTGTTCAGTAATAGATCACAGATGACGTCAAAATATGGTCAAAACAAAAGAGTGGCACATAGGTGCATATGTGTATGCCTTCTTTGATCTCTTACTGATCAGATACACAGCAACATGGAATCTACTTGTTTTATATAATATAGTCTGAATAGAAAAAAGTGTTATTGACATCACCTAAAAAAAGAAATTCAGCTATGTGTCTGTCCTCCAACAGATCATACATGAGAATAATTTGACTTATTATATAATTTGATTCAGTGCAGTAGAATTACATGAATTGATGTAAACTGATTTTGGGAACCCACAGAAGGTCATTAACCTCTAAAATCAGTAAATTGTTCCTGCCAATGACAATGAGGAAAATTCAGTTATTTAAAATTCCATTTCATTTTAAATGTCTACTCTAAATTCAAACAGTTCAATATTCAAAAGGAAAATTGAAAGAAAATTTGAAAGAAAATTTGAATTTTTAATGAGTAAATTTGGCTTGATCCATTAGCAGGGATTTCACTGACATTTTCAGCAACTGGTAACTTTCACAGATGGACAAAACTATTTGAACTGAACTTCTTTACACTGAGGAAGAACTTTCTTCACAGTCGGCCAATTTGCACGGTGCTCTGCCCATGTACATGTATGTGGCAATCTTCTTGATGTTTCTTTCAAATGAAAAAGGGATAATAGACTTAATGTGTTATGTTTGATTTACCTCCTCAAATATTGTGTTCTGTGCTTCAGTGTACACCAGGCAAGTACGGTGAGCCAGGGTAATGAGCAGTCTCAGAAAAGATGAGTGCTGAAATCAGAGAAGGAATTGATGTTATTATACAACAATTAATAGGAAGGAGTGCACTGGTTTTCAATTGAGTGTCGTAAAACCAAAACCAAACCAATTACTTACCAATTACACTATCCAGCCAATCTCAAACTGTAGTAAAACCAAAACCAAAACCAAAGCCAAAACTAATGTAATTGTCTGATTACTTTTGACACTCAACTGAAAACCACTCTAAGCCATGGAAAAGGCTTTATACTTAATAGGTAGACTCCTTTTGGAAAGCTCATTATTGAAAGCATATTAATTTACATCCTTTTCAATGGCTGGGCTTACATTTTGAAGGGATTATTGAAGCGCATATAAAAATGTCACATTGTAACTGGTCATTAAAACATACTTTAACTTGTCTGAAACACAATATGCGTTCACATAAATATTCAGTGACATCCCAATTTTCAAACTCGCAAGGGAAATGAAAATTGGTTTGAGAAAGCGGGTAGTTTGAGAAATTGGCAGTAAAATTACAGTGTTCAACTGGAAGAAGGTTCTAGTTATCAGGGGGTTCTAAAAATTGAGGGCTAGAAAAATTGGGATTCCACTGTAAATAACTAAAACATTATTCTTGCCTCTATTTATGACAGACTCACTGGCATCAACTGGTTGCATGACCCAACAATCTGTGTTACACGGTTGTTAAGTTTCTAGATAGTGCTTGATACCTCACAATGTAAATTAGAATTAATGCTACACTGTTTACTTTCACATTGATCACCTTTCAGTTTCTCTTTGGGAAGGTCATCCAGCTCTGTTTCAAATCTAAATGGCTCCTCAGCAATAGGCTGTAAAAACAACAGTTATTTGAAAAACTATTCTCTATTTAAATTACATTGTTAGAACATGACCATGATGTGGAGATTTTTTTCTTCATTATAGTAAAAATTTTGTCTACAACAATCATTCATGTTTGCAAAGAAAGAAAACAAAACCCATGAATAACTAGCTACAAATGCATTTAAATGTAAATTTCTGAAGATTACATCAGTTAATGCACTAATGTAAAACAACAAGCAGTGGTGGAATACATGCTTAACGGCAGCATTTTAAATCTGCATAACATACAGTTCAGAGACTACCTCTATTATTGCCATAACTAATACAATTTTCCCATCTTAAATAATTTGACTTGTAAGAAAACTTTAGAAACGAAAATAATTTGTTGTGGTTTGCTTCATGTTGCTTTTGGTCTCTGAAGGTGTCTGTTAGAATCTTGTCTTAGCTATAATAGTTTAAATAACTCTTAACACAGTCAGGCATCCAAGATTCGTAAAACCAAATTTCATGCTGTAAGCATGGCTCTAAAGAAATGCATGTTTACTGCTCATGCGACAAGTAAGAACACATCAGAGATAAAATATACATGTAGCTGTCTGTTGAGCTATTGTTTGCCACAAGTATGGAATTTTTGGGTTCATTTCTTAGGGAAAATCAAAGATTGGAGTCTTAAGTACAAAAACAGATTCTGTGTATCTTTACTCAACAAAGGAAGTGAAGAATCCTTGCCCAGATTGGATTCTTTGGTTCCTTTGATGCAACCGGATCTGAGTGATCCTGGATTAATCTGTTGTGTAAAGAAATGCAAAATCCATTTTCTGACTTGAGAATCTTATCCTGGATTTTCCCAAAGAGATGTACCCTTTGGCTTTGACTCTCAGACCCAGGGGTGGGGACTCCCTTATATGGGCTAAGTAGGTATGTGCATCCCCAAAGGGTATATATATATTTTTTAGCCATTTAGGTCATAAATAGGGTCTTGATTTTGGCCATTTTGGTCTGAAATGGGGTATGTTTTTTTGCACTCTAGAATTCTCTGGATTTGGCATGCTTTTTAAAAGAAACTACTTTTTCATCATAATTATCCATAACACCACCATCAAAGGCCCTTCACACTGCCTTTAACAACGGTCTGAATTAGAGACCTAAAAATAAGACAGGTCTGAAACAGGGTATTGATTTTTGGTCAGGTCATAAGTAGGGTGGGGAAAATCACAGATTTTGGTCTTAAATAGGGTCTGGGTTGTGGGAAGTGGGCCGCACACCTTCACCCAATTTTTCTGGGAGTACCCCCCTCCTGGGTCTTAGTCATCCCTCAAGAGGGAGAAGAAGTGTCATTGAGAAGTAACAAATGTACAGTACCTCATCTGCAGGGTCATAGTACTGCTCTAGATATGGATGAGCCAGGGACTCCTCTATTGTGATTCTTTTCTCAGGATTGAAGGTTAACATCTTATCTAACAGGTCTAGAGCTGTCAACAAACAAAATTATTCAGACAATGAGGTCCTGGCTACTATTGCTTCTGTCAGGGCAAGAAAAGACCAAGGTCCGATTGCCCAGGGCAAGTAAAATTTGCTCTCAGGAAAGTGAAAATAGAAGTTCAGTGGTTGGCAACTGAAATTAGCCTCAGTAGTCTTGCGAGTCTGAATGAAACTGTCAGCTTAATAAATAATAATCTCCAGTCAGAAGCTATTTCAAAATGTTGTTTGTGTTTGTCCTCTCATTGCCATAATGGCCGCCACATTGGGAAAGAAGCATTTTAGTGGGGGGCAAGTGAAAACTGAAATATACCAGCTCACTGGGCAACTATTTCTCATCCTGCCCTGTTCTGTGTGAGGCAATGAATATTAACATACCAGTATTTTTAAGGACAGGAGAGAAATCATTGAGAAGGGAAAAAAAAAACAAAAAAAAAACAGAGAAGCATACACACAGCCTAGCGTTTCTCACACTTCTTGTGTGTCCTTAAATATTTCCAAGTGAATATGAACCAGTGCACAAGCTGCAAGCAAGTATTTCCACAGCTTTATTTGAGTTCTCTCAAATTTTCATGTTGAGTGTTTCTATCAAACAATTAGATTATGAGCTCGAGATTTCTATTGTGTGATAGTTGATGAGGGCGCAGCCCAAGTCAACTATGGTGCGATAGAAATCGGGAGCGAATAATCTAATTGTTTTAGTATAAATCTACTAGTTGTTCAAAACTTTATCTAAATCCTCTTCAAAGACTCTTCGAACGTGCTGATAAGTGGCCTTAATTTTGTTAAATATCGCACACTGCTACGCTACTCACTATCTATCACCAAATAGGTAGTGAGTAGCATAGCCAATCAGAGAACAGTATTTGCAATAGAACGCTAGTAGATTTATACTAAAACTTCATAGAAACATAAAGAAAATGTTTTCTACTTCTTTTAGAACAATGTAAGAAAGAAGAAAGAAACTCAACTTGTTTATTTTGATTACCATAATGTAAATTCTCTTTGCTTACAACAGTTTGAGTTAGTTCTGTGTTTCCATCAAGTTACATGTAAAAACTTCATTCAGTAAGAATTATACTAGTCAATACATTTAGTTTATTTGCTCAAGATCGATTTCTATGAGGTGATAGTTGATTCACCTAATAAAATAGCACCTCATAGAAATCTTGAACTCATAATCTAATTGTTAAATATTACAATTGATTTCCTCTACATTGGCCATCCTCAGGTAGAATTTACAACCCACTGCAAAGTGCTGGCTCTACGGATTGGCACAAAGCCAGGGCAGGAAAAAACCCAGGTCTGATTTTCAGGGGCAAGTAAATTTTGCTCTTGGGCAAGTAAAAATGGAAGTTTGGTGGTCCGGTCAGCAAGTGAAATTAGCCTCAGTGGTCTTGTTAGTCATAATTTCCAATCAAAAACAATTTCAAAACTTAGGACTGCAAGATGAGCAAAACAATAAGTTTAAAGCATTGATTAATTTAAAATCCAAGCATACTTTGGTAGCATTTGTCCCCTGTTATAGTCTATCACAGATTATTGACAGTATCTAGTCAATGATGTAGTTAATACGGCATGAACATTGTGCACCCATTGGGCAAATAGTATTTTAGTGGGGGAAACTGAAAACTGAAATGTGCTGGCCCACTGGGCAACTGGATTTCAAACATTTTTCCTGCTTTGGCAGCCAAGACAAAATGTCCCAGACATTATAGGAAGGAGGTTGATCATGGAGGGTCAGATGTATTACAGAATGCTTACAAGTACCTTTTGGATCAACAGTATTTTGAAAGATCCGCTCCCAAGGAACCTTTGGTTTGAAGGATAATGACTGAATATAACTACGAGCCTGTACAAAACAACAAACACACATTTATAAAGATCAGAAGATTTACATCCATTCTGTAGTTTTTTGCCTCATGTCCATGTGACAAAGATACTTGGACACAAGGATAACAAGTAACTTCGGTACATTCCTTTGTAAGACAGTCCTGTGCAACCATTCTTTGCATTCCTAATATAAGATTCCCATGAAGGGTAGCAACTTGCAGGTTAATCAATTTTGGTTATGAAAGACAAGGGTAAAACCGATGATGAATTGATAGTGTTTGGTACCACTGATTTTCAAGCAAGTTTCAAGCACATCCTGTACAGATTCAAGACACTTACTTACTTATTTTTTAAGGGGACTGGGATGTAGACCTTAGAGACTCAACCATTTTGCAGTTACTTGTGACAGGCTGTTTTTAGTCTTTTCTTTTGTTGTGTCAAAGGCCTCGGTTCAGGCAACTCTCTTGCATTTAAATCAAATTTCACAACAAATAACAGGGTTAAGTGTTGAAGTGATGGGTTTCAGTCATACTGAAAAAATCTAAAGACGACCATGACTGGATTAAAAATAACCTTGAAAGTTCATTTTCTGCAAATAAGCAAACAGATATAACTCACAAAAATTAATTGCTAGGTCTATTATCGATATCTCACTGTACATTTACCACCATGGGTCAGATCATGGCATCAAGCTGATCAAATTGCATTCTTAATGGTACCGGAAGTGCAACGCTTGCATTCTGTTAACTTTACATTTTTAGCATGAGAGTAGCCTGTGTACATCTGAATGCCAAATTACTTTCCTACGGAAGGCCCAGTCAAAATCTAGGGATCACAATGAACTGATTAAAAACTATCATATAATGAGCAATTTCTGAAAGTACGTGAACAGGTATACATCACAAAAATTAACTGTCAATAAGGGTTGAATTGAGATCGAAGCAGATTGAATTTTGTTCATAAAATTAATAGAAGTGGAAATGTATCCTATCTAAATGATCTAGCGTTATGCTTGCATTACACTTGTTTAGTTTGGCAGTGGATTTCTTCACACTAAACAAGTGTCACAAGGTAGTCCAGGCATAGGGTCTTTGGTTTAACAGCCGAAGATAAACTGACAAGCCATACATCATACGGTCAATCAGAGTATGCAAATAATGCTACATCCAGGGTTATTGAGCACTATTTTTTACCTTTTCATTCATGATGCACATCAAATCCTCTTGTGATGGTGAACCCAAAACACCCAAGATGTGGTTCAGTTGATCCAGGTCTGTGTTTGTCAAGGACATCAAAGGGGAACTAGCATGAAATGTTTTATTGTTATTATTATTATTATTATTATTATTATTTGGCTCTATAGGGCCTAACATTTATCAGCCTCTGCCTGGAAAGGCAAAATTGTTGATCTGCTGACATCGGCAATCCACTTTGCTATATGTACATCACAGAACCATTTTCAGGCAAATGCAAATCAGGCTCAAAAACTTGTTATTTCGAAAATATATATTATATCTTGCAGCTCTTACACCCCGTGGGATTGTTCCACTTAGAGGGCCGTTTTCTAAATTCTATTGTACAGCCTGCTAAAATTTGAAGCTGTTTTTCACAACTGTTTCTTGAAAGTGTCACAAAAACAGTACAGATATAAAGTGCTGTAAATAATATCTGTAAGTTATGGAAAGAAGGTTGGGACAAAGAGGAAAAGAATTAGACCTGGATCATTTTTAATGTACCTCCTGCAACTGGTTCCTGTCGATAGATACAAACTTTCTATCACCAATGCCGTTCTCTGATTGGCTGCACTACTCAATATATACAATCATGGTATACTGTGATGGATAGTAAGTAGCATAGCAATGTGCCCTAGTTAAGAAAATGACGGCTGCTTCTTAGCATTTTCAAAGTGTCTGTGGAGAGGATTTAGATGAGATTTGGATGACTAGTAGATCTATACTGCAAAAATTAGATTATTCACTCTTGATTTCTATGTGTGATAGTTGACTCGGGCTGAACCCTCATCAGCTATCATGCGATAGAAATCTCGAGCTCATAATCTAATTGCTTGATGGAAAGAGTTATAACATTCAGTAATTCAATCATCACATACAAATGTAACTGGTACAGTTCTGTTAAGGATACAATGCTTTCCAGGAAACAGAGGACGGTTAGATAACATCTCTGCAAGAATGCATCCCACCGACCAGATGTCAATTGCCTTACTGTAACCTTTGGAGTTCAACATGATTTCAGGTGCTCTGTACCATCGTGTGGCAACATATTCAGTCAGGAATCCAGTATGATCATGATCGGGGTCTGCTACACGTGCCAGCCCAAAATCACAAATCTGGACAAAGAAGGTGGACGTAAATTCATGTTAGTGGCAGTACCCTTTAAATATTCTGAAGTACTGTCCATACAGTAAACAGCACAACTATAGAGATGCAGTTAGGGTAAGAAAAACATCTTGAAATCCAGTTGCCCAGTGGGCAAATACATTTCAGTTTGTTCATGCCTGATCAACTACATCATTTACTAGGTACTGTCTAAAATCAGTGATTGACTGTAACAAAATGAGCTTACTGGTACTAAACTAGGTAAATGATACTAGACAGCGACATAAATGTATGTTTTTAAAACTAATCCATGCTTTCAACTCATTGTTTTGCTCATCTTGCAGCCTCAAGTTTTGAAATTGTTTTTGATTGGAAATTATCACTATCAATACTACTGAGGCTAATTTCACTTGCCCACCAGACCATCAAACTTCCATTTTCACTCAAGCCCAAGAGCAATGATTTACTTGCCCTGGGCAGTCAGCTGGACCTGGTTTTTTTTTTCCTACCCTGTGCAGGCAGAAAGCACAATGTCTCCTTACCTGATAGAGGGTTCTGGGTAAAACTAGGTTTGAACTTAGTGGCAATAAATCAACTTACGTATAAACTCAACCATTGCTATGACTGCATCAGGGACAAATTTTTCAAATCCCAGGAGCATGCCTCTAGGATATTACAAGTATGTGCTCAAACGTTTCCCGTCAAAGAGCCTCCTATGAAACTTCACACGCTGGTTAAAGTTGGTATTATGGTGTATGTGGTACGGTACAAAAAAAGAGACGATTTGTATTGCTATAAGAGAAATTACACGAGCACCAGTACATGAACTAAAACAAGTTTCACACTCGGTTAAGTACCTTGAGGTCGCATGTTGTATTCAGCAGAAGATTACTGGGTTTCAAATCCCGATGAAGTACATTAGCCGAGTGGATGTACTTCAGTCCTCGTAGGATTTGGTACAAAAAGTAACAGATGTGATCATTGCTCAGTTTCTGTGTCTTGAGCAACTTGTACAGATCAGTCTCCATCAGACACTGGACAATATAGCTGAAGGAAGTCAAGGGAAAATATAAGGCTTTTCAGAGTTCAATGTCTTAAGACATTTAAGAGGTTGAGGCCAAAACAACTCCGGCTTCGAAAGCCTCAAACAGTCCACTTGTAGGTCATCCATAACATTCCAGCAAAGCTGAATGAAATGTAGTGACTCTTTCATGGTTAAAATACTTGTTCTCATTTATGCTGCCAGCATGCATATGTACCTGTATCACAGTTTCTGCATCTATGACCTGTCAATGATATACTCAAACAGGACTAAACAGTGGGAAAAGCTTTGTTTGAATTCTTAGTAGTTCTGGGAAAAATTAAGGTTTTCTTGTCTACTACCACTGATGGTATTCCCATAAATATTGTTATCCCTAACAACCACTGCCATGCCCGTGAGGCCAAACTGAGCTTAACTTTGCAGGTATGTCAGCAGTCAACACCTTTGGCAGATAGCGAATACCAGAACAGTGTCTAAGATCATGTTGGTTGCTATGTCACTGGCCTTAACCTCATTACCTGTTAACCATCTTTTTCAAATTATACAATAAACTACGTTAACTTAACAGACATTTCGACAGCTTTCTAAATTACTGATGTTGAAATAAACATGTACATATTAGACTTGTCCACGAGTTTAGCTGCGAAAGTCGAGTAGTGTCCGCAGTTAGAAAAATGTCTGTCACACTCAAAACCCAATTGCAAAGAACATGAGGAAGAAGAACGCACTTTCTTCTTAATCATGACAAAAACAGACAATCTAATTACTGAGGTCCTGCAAAGGGGCTTATGCTTGTCTTGATTTAAACAAATCTTCAACATGAGTTATTTTAGTTGTCACTATTCATCATCCTCCATGTGGCTGTTACAATTTCCACGTGTATGTCAGAATTTTACCCCCACAGAGCCTTATTATTTGCTTAGGAATTTAAGTTCTAATTTGCAAGGTTCACACTGAAAATCAACATCGCACTGAAGAATGAACAGTATAAATTTCAAATAAAGAACTTTTCAGACAGCAAAGACAACACCAGTAGCGCAATATTTTGAAAAAACTACACGAATTGCTGGACTACCCCATCAAAAACAATCCGGGTTCCATCTCAAAATGGGCTTAACACCAGCAAACCATAGAGTATTTCTAAACAAAGATTGATTAACCCGCAGCTTTAAACAGACGCGTTTGTGTTTTAAATAGAAATTCGAGACCGTAAAACCCGACAGCTGTTTAAATGCGGGCTTGACGCGGAAAAAAAAATACGCAGTAAGGCTGGATATTTCGCCTTAATTTTGAAACTGTACATGTAGCGAAAGGGACATTCCAACGAATTAAAAATGCTCAGATACAACTGTGACTGTGCAGGTTAATGAAGTTTAAATTATGTTCTACTCATTCGATATGTTTACCACTTTTGAATTTTATAGAGCGTGTCCACAACAGCAATGATAAAATTTCGTGGAAGACTTAAAGTCGGGAGCTTGGAAATGTCGGTACTGTTTGAATACGACTTGAAAGGCACAAGGTACCAATTGAGTTTGTTATGGCATTGGAAAGTTCACAAATAACAGAGAGATTCCAAGTAGAAAAAAATACCGCTAGAATGTGTCTGTGATTCCTATAACATAGCTCTCAAAGGATACACATCTTTCATGTCTTCTATGCTTGGTGCGCGGATTATGTCCATTATCCCAATGATCTGAAAAGCGAAAGGAGTACATAAAACAAATTAACTAACATCCCGATCAAAATCGTTGAAACACAGACAACAGGGGGACATTAACATGGAACGTTTCAGGAGAAAACGCATCCGAATAACGCCTAAACAGTCTATAAAGCTACTGGAATGTTCCCATGTGCGTCACTTCGGTCTCAAGTGACCGTCTAAGCGCTATGATAGCCCCTCTTGTGCTTGACTTGGGTACTAACATTTTCGTGTTTAAATCGACGTAAAATCTTGATCTCTCGTAACGTTCGCTGACAATAGGTCTGGTGCTCGAATGGACTGATCTTCTTGATCGCCACCCTCTGTCCCGTGGCATTATCTAACGCGGAGCTGTGCATTGAAAAGAAAAAGAGCAAGAATGAAGAAGTTATTTGACTGAAAACTGCAAAATCGAACAGCATTTGAAGGTGCAAAACGCATTTGAACTTGCTGGAAAAAGGAAACACCGAGGCTTGACAGCGCTCTCCTTACCAAACCATTCCATAGGCCCCTTCTCCTATGTAACTTAAATTCGTATAGCGAGGTCCTACATCGAAAGCTTGTCCTCGAACAACTTCAGGCGGAGAAGGCGCCGCCATGTTTGTGAACAGCTTCCGTTTCGTCTACTACACCGTATCGAGGCTGACGCGCCCTGCAGAATGCGGTCTGGAAAACCCTTCCCAGCATGCAGCCGAGCTATGCATGTAGATCGGCTCGCAATATACACTAAAATGACCCACGAATGGCTCTTCTTAATCTTTGAGACAAACTCAAGCAGAACTTTCAAGACTGAGAGCCGCAGTGTTGGTGGATCGGGGAGGGCATGCAATTTGTCAAAACAAATTTGTATTGTCTTATCGAATGGAACGATTATAAACAACGAACTAATGTCACCAACACTGCCCCGCTCAGTCTTGAAAGTTCTGCTTGACTTTGCCACGAAGAAGAGCCATCTCCTACAAATCATATTTTTCACAGAACACTTCATACGGGATTTCACAATTTATTAATGTAGGGCTGCAAGTTTACGCAAACACCTAAAAAACGACGACATTTTTGTCTTATATTCTACGCAAAAATAAATAAATAAACAAATAAATAAATAAATAAATAAATAAAGAAAGAAAGAAAGAAAGAAAGAAAGAAAGAAAGAAAGAAAGAAATCAGGGATGACAATCACGACGCTCACAGCTCATAACCGTTTATGTTGATAATTAGCGCCTTTTTTCAGAGAAATTTCCAACAAAATGCGCTAATTATAGCATCTTACTGTGTGTGCATATGTCCACTTATACTTATGCTTATGCTTATGCTTATGCTTATGCGCTGGTGGGAACCAGCCTTCAGCCGCGATCGAACAAATGCCAATCGTCATTAGCCATCCCCCTCCACACCCACGTACCCATCAAAACAAGAAAAACGGGAGGGTATTGAATGCAAAGGAAATATTCGCGTTAAGGAAGTGGAGTAAGGTTTTTCGAAAATATATTTTTGTATTGCTTCTTTTTTTTTTGCGACAATCTTTTGGCCAATCGTGGGAAACCATCGCGAAAATTGCCATATTAAAACCGCGAAAAAAACATTTAATGTGCCACACAGTTATTTTCTCGCACCAACCTGCCACCCACATAACCTTTGTAAAGACAAGAAAGAAGTAACTGCATTTCCACCGGTCGATTACTATGGACACCCACACAGTAGAATCGTGAATATCTAATTGGCACTCGTTCGGCACTCCCACAACCACGCCGACAACAACAACCTCAACTCATTTCGACTGACTCACAGTAAAATGATTATGCTCTAAATACCAGTAAAAATTGGAATAGTTTTCTTAAAATCGCTTTTTTTCCTTCCACAGGATAATCTAATGAATTTGGGTATCTTTTAGTAAAGCCTTAGTTCAGTTTTAATCCGATCCACAAACAGGAACTTTAATTTCAAATGTTTATGCCCACGCACAAGTTCCGTTCTTTTCTCTGTTATCAGAATGGAGAACGCCAAACCACAATGAACGATCAATGAAACCATTATCAAAGTTTGTATTGCACCAGTCTCTTCAAATTCAGGTAAACGTCCGTTGATCTTTCTTTGATAATGTAGTCTTTTTCGCGTTAATTTCAGTTTGAGAAGACAGTTTAAATTCATTTAAAGGCCACTTAATTAACTTGTTTGTCATTAAATTAAAGCACTACTGTAAATGTTTATTTTGTATTCTAAATATTAACAATTTTAATATCTATAGGCATGTCTTTTTATCACGAATTTGTATTTTTACACCGTTTTTTAATTTTTTAACTCGAAGATAATAGCTTTATACATGAAACTACTCTTAAATTCGAGTTTTGAATAAAGTTTAATATATGTATGTATGTGTAATGCCTTACTATTTCTTTGCCGCTGTTTTAGGTGTGAGTGTATACGTGGGTCAACTTAAGATCTTTTTCTATTGTTTTCAAAAAAGAACGTTTGTAAAGGAAGAGATAGGCTTGTGGGATTAACAAAATTAAAATCGGAACTTTAGTTTAGAGATCAAATGAATGGATCGTGGGCTAGACCTGTTTGTTAGTCTGTCTCAATCTCTCCAGCCTCCACCCTTCTCTTGAATTAACCTTTAACAACTTTGATATGGCGAATGAAAAAAGGGACAAAAGTAATGAAAGCTAATGAAACCAGAACATCACCGAATAATTAATACTACGGTTTTCATCTGGCATAATTAGTGATAGAGTGCAGCTGCGGTGGTTTATCCCGATCAAAAATTATTTTTCCTAAAATAAAAGTTTCGGTCTCTTCGATAACCTTCAGTTAGGCACCTTACTAATGAAGGTCAACGAAAGGACGAAAGCGTTTCAGTATTTTAGAAAGAATAATTTTTTTGATAAGTGTCAACCACCGCTTTTACATAAATGTTATTGAACTAGCAAGGGGTCTGTATTGGAGAAATATTGATCAAGTTCTAGCTTTTTTTGCAGGTTTATGAACCGAGCCGCATAAAGTTACAAAAAAAAAAAAACAAGACCAAAATTCTCCAATACGGACCGAACAAGCTAGTTCAATAAAGTATTTATTACAAATTAATGGCTTTTTTTAATCTGCTGACAAATTGATGCGTCTCCGAGATCCATTCTCGGTAAACGCGCTCGAAAGAAAGCATTTGTTTACTTTTCTCAGGTCCTTTTTGTGAACATTTTACTGAAATTGTCCTCCAAACATGAAGGTAAAAAAGATTTTGACTCAACAACAGAGAGGTCTTTATTTTGCGCAATGAATGAAAAAAGCAGTTCGCCTAAATTGGTTAGGGAGTGGTCCATCTATAGCAAAAAATCGGACCGTGAAGTCACATTGCTCCGTGAGCGGGGAAGATAAACTAAATCCTGCGCTATGATTGGCCACCCGAGAGGGCAAGACTGTACCATCTTGTTGCTCGGGACTAGCTACCCGTTATGTCCCGCAAGGAAAAATTCTCCGAAAGCCGTATAATAAATTCTTTATTGACCAAGCTTTTTCGTTTAAGATGGCCTCTTTTTTTTTTTTTGCGAGTTTATGGACCTTGACTCCCTCTTGGTACATAAACAGTCTAAACACGCAAATAAAGAGCTTGGCCAATATCCAGCCATCTTGAACGAAAAAGCTTGGTCAATAACCCATGGCCATATATATATTGAATCCCACCGACTAGTTCAATTTTGGACCCACGTATTATAATATGCTATGTTTCTTTAGTTGGTGCCACTGAAAAAGGTTCGACATAATTTAACACTGCCGGGGAGAAAAAATTGAGCACATTAGCCACTATAAACAACAACATTTGAACATTTTGCACTGACCGTGGAACAAAGAGTCAACAAGGTTATTTACATTGTATTGCAAACTTCTTTGCGACTGTTTTAAATATCTTCTCGAGAGAAATCATTTCTAAAAGTACTGTTGTTAGAGCAAATGTCAAAAACAAATTTTGAAATGCAAATGAAACACTTGAAAGTACTGGTGAAATCAAACTGATGGTGAAATTTTACTGAGATTGCAGAATTTTTCTGAACTTGGAAATGATTTTTTTTCTCCAGTTCCCATATAAAAAAATGGTTTTTAGGGTTATTTCAGGCAACTATTTATGTCTTAAGCTTTTCGAAAATGCAAAAAGGACTGTATTATACTTAAAGGTATTCCGGTACAAGGTTTTTGTTTATTTAAAATTGCAACTTTTGCAATCAGCAAATGAAATATTTACCTTTTTGTGCACGCCAACGTCGAATACGACATTTAGTTTTGGAATAATACAATCCAGATAACATTTTCTTTGGGGAGGCGGATAGGGCTTATTGCACTATACATTGTGCCCATGGCCTGAAGGACAAGGCCTCAGACCCATAGAGCACTTTAATTTTTTAGCCTCAGCCGAAAACACGAGGTGGGCTCGGAGAATTCGATACAGTTTTGCAAATCTCCAGCATTAAATTTGCCGGTACCCATTCAGTGTACACCTGGGTGGAGAGAGACACTGTTAGAGTAAAGTGTCTTGCCCAAGAACACAACACAATGTCCCCGGCCGGGGCTCGAACCCGGACCACGTGAAATGTGATCTGCACGCAGGCCCCTTTACCACTCTCGGGCTACACTGCCAGTTAGGCACAAGCCGTCAATTGACCTAATGAGATGGACGTTTGTGCAGAAGAACTCTGCTCAAAATACTGACTTTTGACGCAGTGCATTGCACCAAATGTTTGTAACAAAACTAACTACTGTACGTACTTCATGTAATTCTAAATGCGAGCTACCTGTCAAATTAAAAGATCAGGAATGATAAATCAGACTAACTGGTTGTCTACACTTCAAACAATAGGCGGCAAGTTGTTCAAAACAAGTCATTGCTTTTAATATAAAATAAAAAATCAAAACTTTGCCTTCGTTATAGAACAATTACGTTGACGAGTTACAGTGGAATGTTATTCATATGTGGCGCTATCACAGTTACTTATTGTTTGGAACAACTGATGAATAGAAAGGTGTATTAAAGTGTAAACGATATAATGAAACCTGGTCAAAAGATATTTTCATTAAGTTCTAAATCGAAAAGATAAGTGTAACGAAATTCGTCTTAAAAGAGAACCCCGGCCTAACAGCTAAATTCAAAATGATTGCGTCAAAAGTAGATGAAATTAACGGGGCAGAAATATATAGTAGCTAAATTTAACGGCAAATAAATTCATCGAAGCAAACCTGATCAGCTAGGAAAACAAAACAAACTTATTATGGGTATATTATGTATACAAAAAGATTACTGTATTGAATCGAAAGTCTTAACGTAATCCGTGGTTTCTAGTCTGCGATAGCCATTTGATACAATCAGCTAGCTGAAACTGATTATCACTTCTTTACTATGGCGAATTATGTAGAACATAAACTCTCAGCCTCTCGGAAAATCACTATAAATAACCTTAAAGGATTTAAAAGTGTACTTACCCGTATATTCACTAAATTCAAAAGCATTTGAGTACCAACTTACCAAAACCTTTTAGAGGTAGCTTAGAACGGAGCAATCAATCTATATCTTTTGTTTTGAGCTGTCACATCAATTTTAAAAATACAGCACAATGCCTTTTCTCCGTGGGGCAAAGTTTGGAAGCTTAGCAAATTTGTAACATTTCTGGCATATTTTGGAATGCGACACTTTACGCTATTTCAAATCAAAACGTTTTTTTTAAGGGGGCGCCGACATTTATGCTAATCTGTTCTCTATTCCTTACAGCACAACTGGGACATTGTTCTTGTTTATCTGTTGTTTCTTTTGTGTGATTTTTTAGAAGAACTAAAATGTAGCGCCCGTTTGCCATCCTATTTTAACCTAGGACACCCGAAAAACTGATATTCTGGTTGCAAAGACGTCGCTCCGATATCAGGCGTAAAAAACAAAAGCGAGGCCATTGCACTGTAATGAATATTAACACGAGTAAAAGTTCATCTCATTAAAATCAGGCTGACAGTTTAGAATTTCTTTATTTGATAAATAATTATGCTGATCGATTAAAGTTTGTTTCTTAAAACGATCATACAATGAAGTAAGACAGATATATAACTTCCTACTCTAATTTCATGAAGGCTGTTCAATTGAAAAACACTTAGGCGTTGACCCAGGTGACACATTATTTGGAATTTGGAAGAAAATGGCAAATATCCAAAAAAGAAATAATAATAACTGTCGAAATATAAATTACCATCTAAATCTGTTGTTTTCTATACATTTCGTGGACCCCAGGCAGTGGTGGACATTATTTATTGATAATTTCACGTAACATACAGTTCAGAGTTTGATATATTTGGAGATATAAATTAGTGTTTGTTAAGTATATAAGCATAGAGATAAGCATGCTATATTATTCGACGTCCATACTGATATTAAATTGACATTTCGTGGCAAATTAACGACGCCGAAGGGCACACGACAAATATTTCATGGCCTGTCCAAGTATGTAAATTTCAAACAATATCATGAAATCAAAATAAGGACTCCATGAAAGAGCGGCCTTCTTGTAGTAATGAAACAACACAGCTGGCGTGTGTGTAAATTCGTGTTCAGAATTGACAGAAAATATGATCTCTTACAATCGGAGAGTATCATCACAGTTATTACACAGGTAATATGATAATACCACTCTTGGCAATGAAAAAAACACCTGCGCTGCGTGGATAAAATGTCGCACGGTCAATATATAAACAAAAAAAATACGCGTTTCTAATTCAACGAATGTAGTTTGTTTACTTTGCGAGTTTTTTCAAAAAAAAAAAAAAATCAATAGCAATTAAAACAGTCATAAAAGCAAACAGACGGCGTTGATACCCTAAATGTCAAAAAAAAAAAAAAAAAAATGAAAAAATAAGTAAATAAAAAAAAAATTACAAGAAAGTAATGAAATAGAAGTAGTAGATGACAGTTTATAGAAAACGTTTTGCATACTGCCGGAACACGGTTAGACTAGAATGACCAGCGTGAAACAAATGTCTTCATCATATCAGCGTATTGCCCTCGTTTGTTGTCAGGGTAGTTTAGCAAATTTGGTGCTACTGTGAAGTGAGCCTTGGGCGACACCGTATAAATTATGCAAACTACGTAACAGTTTGACTGTGGTGTGAAAACCTATCGGTAGTAAGCAGTTGTTGGTGTAAAATCATAGACAAAACACGAAAAAACAATTCCGTTCAGTTCGATTGACGGAGATGAATCTGGCTACCTGGGAGTCCGTGTCATAATCGAGAAATTGCATCAAATCCGTGTGATAATATCATAAACTATTGAAGACTGAAGATGTCGTCGCCGTACACAGTGTTCTTTGACCAGTACTGGTTCGATACGAGTCTTCCAAGCATCATCGTGTACATCATTGTGTCGCTCTTCACCATATTCTCAAATCTCCTCCTTTGCGTGGCTTACTGGAAAGATCCATTCCACAACCTAAAGACCGCGCAAAATTACTTCGTTCTCAACTTGGCGATCGCCGATCTCATTATGGGTGCCATTTCAGAGCCTCTTCTTGTAGTGACGTATTGGTATGACCACAACCTCATCTACTTCATCCACTATCTATTCGCTATCATCTCTGCGGCCTGTTCGTTACTCAACATAACAGCGCTCTCCATAATTCGATATTTCGCCGTGAAACAGCCCTTTCTCACTCAAAGCATCGTTAACGAGCGCAGTGCGTTAGTCGGCATCGGTGTTGTCTGGGTCATAGCTATCCATTACGCCCTGCTTCCGTTTGTGGGATGGAGAGACAAAACTTTTCAACTCTACTTGTATGGCTTAGCCTGCGTGATTCCGACCGTGGTATTTATCGTCGCTTATTTCCTGGTGTATCGTGCGCTACGTCGCCATACGACCGTGATCAAGGGTCTCGGAGAGGGAAAAAGCTTGGCTCTCGAAAACGCGCTTCGTACAGAAAAAGCTGCAACGCGAACGGTTTTGCTGGTTCTGGTGGTGTTCCTTGCGTTATGGATTCCGTTTTTGAGCATCGATTTTATAATAGTTCAATGTGAGACCTGCAGAAACGAAACGTTTCACATGGCTCGGGACATCACCCTTTCGCTGGTGTATTTTAGCAGTGGAATTAATCCGGTGATTTACGCTTGGCGCGTGAAAGTTTTCCGGAGAGCTTTTATGCGCGTATTGAGTGTCCAAGGGGGGTGTTCTTTTAATCGAAGCCGTGCATTGTGGAAAAGGACTTTTAATGGTGGGGTTTCGCTACCAAATCTCGCGCTGAACAGTTCCAAGCAAGCAAGTTGGAATGTGGTATATCCTGGTTTGAAGGGAGAAACTATTGATGGCAGCACAGGGCAAGCAAATGAATCGCTAGAACTTAGTTCAGCAGAGTTGGTTGTTTGTAAGACACCTGCCGCTGTACCAAATTGAAAATTTGGCAAAGTCCCCGTGAAAATATGCTACAAAACCCGCAGTTTTATTTGTTTTCAGTTGGATAAAAGCTCAACAAACTGTTTACGTGTTTTCGTGGTCTCTGCGGAACACGTCGGGAGTATAAATGTAGATAGCCTTCATACAAACGAAACAGTACGTGTCAAAGTGTCCACGTAATATTTACTGAGTCCTTTTGAATCTTCTCTTGGGGCAAGTCTTTTGAAGTGGCACATCTGCCGCTGGTGTCAAACAATTTTTAATTTTCGTGCGTCGCATTGTCTGGGGAAACAACAATTAAAGGAACATTAAGAAAATTGGACCATGGTTGTTATATCCACTAGACGCCCAAATTAGTTCTACGAATTAATAAAAGGACACCTGCCATGCCAATTCCAACAATGGCAGCTCTCGTGATCAAATGAAAGTTGGCTTAAAAAGTAACAACTATAGCCGAGTATAAGTAATCAGCAGCTAAGATAATAAAAAACTGTCATTTCGAATCAGATATGGTTTTCAGGAAAAAGAGTAAATTGCATCCAAATTCGGTTTGTGTCAACTTGTGGATGGAAAATTGTCGCGACGTGATTGAAAATAATTCTATACTGGCATATTCCAGCATCAGGACGCTGCGGGTGTCGGGCGCGAGCCAAAGGAAAGAAAACAAAGGCAAATGTGAAAATGAAGGAACTGGCTTATTTGAAACAAAGGAGGTCGTGGAATTTATTAGTTAATGGCCAGAGTCATTGTGAAAAATGTTAATTTGAGTTGGAGCTAATGGAAGAAGAATACACTTTGTCAACGGACTTCAGAGAGGAAATGCTACCAGTTGCAACTAAATTCAAATTTACTCGTCTAAAGGCCAAAATCATAGACATATTTGGGTTTTGAGCACAAACAGCTCGAAAATTGAAGGCAAACAAGAAAAGCAAACAAGGACGAAACATTTAGAATTCCAAATTCGTGTTTAAACAAAACTTAGGTTTGACCTACAGGGAAGTCTTTTTAGTAAAGCGCGACAAATGTGTTTCGAGCTATTTCTTGAAAAAGCAAAAGAGAACCTTCGAGAAAATGGAAATTATATGTGTGGTCTGATGTTTGCCAACAGCATGATATACTCTTTTGATTAATTTACCAAGTTTTAATAAGTATCGCTGAGATATTTTTACAAAATGTTCAAACTTCAGTAAATGAATCTAGCGTAAAAATTGGGCTAGCGCTTTTCACAAATTTTGTCTAGTAGATGCTGGGACTATTTTATACCTATAAATACACATACAATTTCTATGTCGAATAAATAAATAAATAAATAATAAATAAAGCGATGTTTCTAGCCAAGACGTATGTTGTTTTTAATCACAGCGTATCGTAAGGTTGCGTGCAATTTCACTTGCAGCTCAAGGTGCCGGGAGCTAAAAGGAATAGTGATAATATTTCTGTAATTGCATGGGCGCAGAATAATTTTTGATGTTGATAAAAGCGCGGAATTTAGTCATTACACTCAACAAACTTTTTTTGACGTCTGTTAAATTTCTCAAACGGTATTGCAAAAACTGAGTGGCAGGTTTAAGGATTTTCAATCATAAGATCGGGGGAAGGGGTACTCCTGTTTTGTCATGTACTGCGGATCACTACTGGGTCCTCAGTTTTAAAAAGTTTAAGAACGGACTTAAGCGTCTTTTTAACTTAGTCTCTTACCTGTTTTAATGAATATTTTGTTGTATACAGATAAATAATTCTAACCTTTTCTTTTAAGGTGAAACGTCAGAAGGCCAAATAACCTCTGTTTCTTCCTTTTCAAGATGTATTTTATTTGTCTTTATTATTGTATCTCGAATAAAACATTATGTTATGTTATGTTTTGTTAAATATCCCTATCCCC